TCATCTTTCCATCCTCTTTAAACAGAATTGCTTGTATTTGTTCTCCAAAATTATCTTCCGGAAAACTGACAACCAATATGAAGAATTAGATTTGTAGCACAGATACAGGGTAAAGAATGGAGCAAGTCCGTGTATAAAAATGTATAAATAAATAAAAAGCTCCACAGTATAAAATTTCCCCTCTCATCTCTAAAAAGATTTTCCTTATCTTTCCACTTCCTCCAACTATGCTAAAAAAGCGTGGCTGCCTTTGAATTGTTCTGTAACCTTAATTGTTTCAGGTGAAACAGCCAAAGCAGCTAGTTCGAAAGCTTCAGTGAAATCCTTCCTGTGTGATGGGGCCTCTTTGCACTGATTTCACTGTACAGGATCAACATTTCAGATTATCTTTTTTATCTGGAAAAATGTATCCAAGTAAAATGAACTGTAAAAATGGATTTTTAAAATGTTAAAAATTTGTCTAAAATTCACCGATTAGTTTCTTTCTATATGGTATATTAGGGGAAAAGGAGCACACAAGCTACAACTTTTGGGAGGAAGCGCTTGTACACTGAGTTACAGCTCTGAATGAAGTTTTGCCTCTCAGTGAAAAAGGCTGACATGACTTTAAATTCAGCAGCAGAAATGGTTCTGTTGTTTCGTTATCTGGTTTCAGATTTTAGTGGTTGTGTTTAAGGTATCTGGGATCTGCAAAACAAAGGTTTATATAAGGCATAAACAAAATGGCAAGTAAATTGCTTTGGTGATGAATTTAATTTGTAGATTACTTTTTTTTTTAAAGGAAAAAAAAAGCCTTGCCAAGCAAAATAAGCAGTTTTAGCAAACCGTGTAGAGGTTTTTTTTGTTTTTTATTAAATACAGACAGTTTGGTGGTGCAGCTCATTCCTTGTTGGGCATGGAGTTAGCTAGAATGCAAAAAACATGGTACAGATGGCAGGATAGCATCAGCATTCTTCAGAACCAAGAGTGGGGCTATTTATCTTGGAATAAGGCTTTATAAAATTTATAAAATACTATGGCTTTACAAAATTTGCAAGTTAAATTGATTACTTTTATTTTGTGTGTGTTAATTGTAGCTCTTGAAAGCCCTGATTTATGTGGATGGCTGCTTAACGGTTTTATAAAGACTGATTTTGTAGTGTACTTCATTTTGATGGGAATCATTGCAACAGATGAAAGATAAAGACTTCTGAGGCAGCAGCTTCGTACCCTAGGCTCTTGGGCAGCCCTCTCATGAGTTGAGCACTTGCAGACTGTGAACGGTATCTGAAATCGGTTTTAATGTTGTGTTTAGAATAACTACTGTCTTTCCTAAATTTACTTCCAAAATTAAACTTGCCTAATAAACAGTTTGAAAGGGGAGGGGGGGAAGAAATAACTGGTAACTCTGCAAACACTGAAAAATGTGGGGTTGTCCTCTCACATATGGAATGAGATTTCCTGCAGAAGGCTTATGTCATCAGACTGACTAATTTAATTTTATTATTTCATGATTTTGGCATGCAGAATTTCCAATTAATAATTTAAAAAGTATGGGTCAAAAGAGTACTGACATTAACTGTATTTGAAATGGCATCTTGTAGTCGTTCATGTGTGAATGAACCTAGCTCTTTTAAACGCACTGGTTTTTAATAAAATACTTTCTTACACAGAACTCATGCTTACCAAGGTGAACTGAACATACTTCTCTTTAGACATATCTGGCAGAAAGGTTTGACGTACTAAATTAGCAAAACGTGTGCCAGATTTAATATAACTAAATGGAATCAAATCCGAGCAGAAATGTTTCTTCTCGAGGCAGGAGGAAAAGTGCTGATTTTGAGTATGTTGCACAGCATTTGTGTGGTTAGCTTGTAACACTAGATAGTCACTTCTGGTAGGATAGTTACACCAGTTCAGCATATAAATCACCACCTTACACCACCAGGCCTAACAGAGAATACCCTTTTAAGAAATTAATCCATTAGAAAATCACCTCTGACCAGTGATCTTGGAGAATCTGGCAAGCTTATGGTAGCACACATTTAGCATAATTTGCATCACTTGTGATTACAGCTGCTGCCATGTTTTGAAGCATTTTGCCAAACTGTCTAGAAAGGTTAGTTATACGCAGAAAATACTTTGGGATTTTTGTGAGGCTGCGAGACAAGTTTAAATGAGCAGATGCCCCCCTGCAGATCAGCCAGTGATTTTTCTGAAGCATCTCTAACTTGGGAGGGGGCAGTGTACAACACTGCTTTATCTTCCTCTGCGCTCTTTTGGCTCACATATTCCTAACCAGCTGCCCATCCTTCGGATTGTTGTTCAGCAGCATCCCCAGGAAGTGCTTTGAAGTCTCAGAAATATATATGTATAATTTAGGTTGACATACTTGGCAGGCTCATTTAAAAAATAGAATCGCTTCACGGCATGACACGAGAGATCTCTTAAGTGAGTTATAAAGAACCGAAGCATTTCTAACATCCGCCAGCTTTTGCATGCAGTTCCTAATACTTTCTTTTTTCTTCCTGTTGCCTGTTGTGAATGAACTTCTTGTGTTGTAATACAACTCTGTAAAGGAGTAAGTTTTACAACACTGTTTTTTGAAATGCTTGAAAATGTATCCTTTCCTTTACCAAGGATTTTTACAGTTGGCTCAATTGAAAACATGAGGTATAAAAATTGTTGTGTATGTTTATTTCTGATGTGTTAGTTAAGAATAGTGATCTGAAGACAGCATTGACTATCTGAATAATAATGAAATGAAATTCAGATAGTTGTCACAAATTCTACTAGCATAATGAATTGCAAAAAAAAAAGAAAATCATTCTACTGAACGTCTAGCCCAAAGAACATGCTGTCTTAGGAACAAATAAAAACTTGGGGAAGGAGAAAACATTTTCTTCTTTTCCGTTGCTCAGTACAACATGAAAATAGATTATCGACCATTCATGACTTGTGTATTACTTATTGGTATCTTAGAAGAGCTTGGAAAGAGAGATGCATAATGATGGGACTGAACAGCCAGCGTACTCAGACCAGAAATCAGATGTTGCGTTTATTGATATTTTCTCTGTGGCCTTTACTTTTCTGTGCTGCCATTTTAACTTCAGGTCTGGATTCGCCAGCATTATTTAATACTGCAAATTATTGTAATGACAGGAAAAAGTTCCTGAGTGACAAAGTACAGACTTACTGCCACAGTAAGTTCAGCTTTCAGTGACTGTTGAGAAAACTTGCAGCTGTATTGCCAAACTGCTGCTCTAGAAGTTTTGAATGACTTTTGGCTCAAGAAGGCCGTGCTTTCATCCTTTGTGTAGGGTCTTGCTCCTGTATTTTGTAGTCTTTTTTAATCCTTGTATTTCTAGCCACTTGGTAAATGTTTTACTGTTTAGTTTTTGATAGATATTTTTGTTATTAAATGGTTCATTGGACCAAATAAGAAATTAGACCTTTTTTTTTTAAATTAAATTTACATCTGGCTTATGTGGTAGATATTAACAGTTCAGGGAACACCCAATGAGCACTAGAGTTTCTGCTTGTATTTAATCTTGCTGTACATCAAGCACAAAGATTGGCAATGGCGAGTCAGACCAAAGGCTCGTTTAGCCCAGTAACCTGTCTGTAACACATGAGAGCATATAATACTTCTAGAGTGCTCCCCTGTTCTCCGGCCACGAGTAGCTCAGGGACTTCCTGACTCAAACGTGGTTCTTTGTCTCTAGTAACAAATAGATTTATCTCCTATGAGCTTCCTCTGAGCCATGTAAACTTTCAGCATCCACGAAATCCCGTGGGGAAGAAGTTTCACTGCTTAACTGCATGCTGCTTGAAGAACCCACTCCTTTCCTTGTTCTGAGCTTGGCTCCTGTTTATTTTCATGTCCCCTATTTCTTGTATCGAATGCAGCAGCAAACAATTGGTGCCTGTAGAAAAGAAGCATCTCTTGAGGTCTGAGGCGCTCAGTTCTGATGCTTAACGTCCAGAACTACGTGGAAGTACAGTTCAGACTGTAGGTGCAGCTATAACTCCCATGAAGTCACTAACTGTATAGGGATCTTTAACCACGCTCTTTCTCTGGGCAGCATGTAGTGCAGTGCCTTTTTTCGGGGAATACTAAGTCCAGCTAAGATGTTTCATGACCAGAGGTCCTGACAAATGCCCACTGTGCACACAATTTGACTGTATAAAGAACACAGTTCACCCTGGCATATGCTGGATTTCATGTACATTTCTTTTGGGTAATTTCTGGGAAAGAAATATGAAAGCCCTTATGTCACATGGTGCTGCCCTACCTTAACTTGCAGACCAGGGAGAGCTGTTCTTTTTAGTCCTTCATTCTTAATTCCTTCACTACTGAAGAAGTTCTTACTCCCTCTTTCCCCTCAAACATTACAAGTATTAATCAGCATGAAGGATTTCCTTTTTTTTCTTTTTTTTAAGGTAATTCAATTGCTGTCAGTAAATATGTTTCTTCCCCATATCTAATCATCATTAAGTGGAAGAGATAAATATGAGAACGGCCATCTAGACATGAACGACTAGGAGACCACAGATGCCAGAGGGCTCTCTAGAAAGGGAAGAAATCTATGCGTGAAAACCTGGCTGTAACATATTGCACTATATGTCAATATTATGAAGCAGTGCAGTATAGAAGGGGATCAGCTGATGACTCACAGTCCGTGCTATATGCATGTAATTGGTCCTTTTGACTAGCTCTGGTCTGATTATGTGTGCTGAATGCCCTTGAGTGGTTGAAGTTATTTAGGTGCCCTTCTGGAACACCTGCCCTGACTTCAATTGCAACTGAAATTTATATGGTTTATATGCTGCAGGGTTGCTTTACAGTGTGAACAGAAGCATGGTTAAGTGGGGATGATCAGGAGATCTCCTTCAGAAGTGCAGGTCTGGTCCAAACTGAAATGCAGTGTATACACTTAAGAGGCTTTCGAAGCATATGAATGTCCAGAAGAAGAGGACGGTCACATAAAGAGTCCTTCCCTGGTTTCAGCAAACTTTGCCCTTGTATACGCCAACCTCGCTGAACACATGCTTGCACTTTAACCTTGAGAAGGTAAAGACCTGAGGGCAATAAACAAGTTTACTACATTAATCAGTCTTTTGAATTTCACTGCTGCTAATTGGCAGCTGTGACAATACTCTTGTTACTCTGTTCCTACGTCATTCCTCTCAAAAAGTGGAAACATTGAAATCCACAGTGAGTAAAGCTTTGAAGTAGAGCACAGTGGTCCTAGACAGTGTACATTGCAATGGTCTAGCCTAAAAGTACAAGTATAACAACATATTACTATATATTCATTTTGAAAGTTTAAAAAAGAAAAATGGATTTTGATGAAATCAATAATGTAAGAAAACTTACAGCAGGGAGAAGGCAGGGTTTTGACTTAGGGAACTGTCCAAAGTGGGAGACGCTCGTGTCACAGTCTTGAGGTTGTGAAGCACAGCATGTTTTTCATAGTCACTTGTTTTTGGGGATGTCCAAGATGATCATGAAAAGCATCGGTTGTGATTTGGAAAGCTGTGTGAATTTAGGTCTTTTCATAGATCACCATGCTAGTATTATTACTCATTTCAAGTTGTGGGCTAGTTGTTTTGTACTGGTAGTTATTCTGCAGCCGAGTTCTATAAATATTTAGCTTTCCCACCAGCACCACAACTTTCCTGATGCTTACTGAGTATTTACCTTTTGGCTAGTCTGTTTTTAATTTCTTTAACACTTAACTATACACTTGGTACCTGTCACTGTGTAGAAAATACTTACATTTAACAAGCCTATTTCCTGCTCAAGGCATAGGATACTTTAAATCTTTCTTTACAGTTCTGACTGTGAGACTCCAGTGGGTTAAAGAAATCCTATTACTTCCTCAGACTATATGACAAGTGTGTCAGAGAAGCCATTTTACATACTTATTTCTCCTTTCAGCCACAAGAGCCTCACAGTGCAGCAGAAGAAAACTAATGCAAAAGGCAAGGTTAAAAGTGTGATAAAGTTTCCCAGATAATGTAATTGTTTCCTTTTTCTTCAGATGTAGGTGCAAGAAACCACAGGCATTTCTGTGCGGTTTATTACAACAAGAGCCCGGGGTTTGAGATTATCCATGGGTTGCTGGACAGGGTCATGCAGCTTCTGGAAGTACCACCAAATGAAGAGAATGGATACACAATCAAGGCAACTGAAGGTAAGGAAGACAGAGCTGCAGTGTACAGCAGAGGTTGTTCTGGAGCTCAAAGGAGCTACAGTCTGAGGTGAATTTTTGGTTCTCAGCAGTAGGCACTAAGAATTAATATTATTATTATATATACTGTCATACTGCGGTATAAGTGAAAAGGCATTAACTGCATTCACTGACTGCAAAATGGGATTGCTGTCTTTGTGAGCTGTTCTGAGTAGTTTTATATAAATTGCGAGTTGACAGCTTTTTAAGGAGAATTACAATGAAGAGTATGCCATGAACTTCATGGGCTGTTTACAATGAATTAGTCCGCTGATGCAAGGGTAGGTAGGAATTCACTGAATTGATGAATATGCCAGGTACCCACTGCATTCTCTTTGGCTAACAGTACCTGGAAAAGACAACTTCTTACACCTGATCTTTTAGTTTATAGCTTTATCTATAGCTTCTATTCATATGTACCTTTTATTTATATATTCATATGAAGATATATGCCTTATATATCTTTTATTCAAAGACCTGCTGTCTTTGAGACTGAGCCTGCTGCTTAGACAAGTGTTTGTATAACAGCCCTCTTCCTTCTCCGTACAGGGCGAGCTGCACATGAATTAAAAATAACATCCTTAAGTGCAAAATCTCCTCTGTGTATGTGTATATGCATGTAAGAGAGAAAGCAAGCAGGCTGACCCCATTACTTCATTGAGAGACCGTAGGTTGATGCAAGACAGCATCAGCAACTAATCTATTCTGCTACCTAAAATAACAGTGTAGTAAATACAGTATGGAAAAGCAAGACTGCAGGGATAGCGGCTATGATTCTCCTTATACATCATGTATTGGTGTTCAGAGATATGAGACACTGACTCAAACTGACACTTGAAGAAGTGCCTCCATTCTGCGCTTACTGGAACAAGTGCCACTGATGGAGTCCCTGACAACCTGACCGAGCTTGCCTATTCATAGAACTTTAATGAAGAATTGTCAGGTGCCTCCCTGTTTTGCAGTGCGCTGCCAAGATGTGAGACATAACACTTCAACTGGTCTCCTAGCACTTTAATGCACATTTGTGTCATATATTGATGCTTTTTTTCCCCTCCTGTTTTTTGACAAAGTAGTATTTTGCTCAGTATTATTTAGGCAGACTGTCAAAGGGTTTATTAGAATATTGTTAATAGGATTCCCACATTGACCAGAGGAATGTTTAAACAATTGTACTTTTTGTTCTAATTCTACCAAGCACAGAACAGGTAATAGCAGAGCTTCTTATTTGGAAGGGGGGAAGGGGGGGGGGGTGTCATGTTTTAACCCCAGCCAGCAACTAAGCACCGCACAGCCACTCGTTCACTCCCCTCCTCCCCCCCGGTGGGATGGGGGAGAGAATCGGAAGACTAAAAGTGAGAAAACTTGTGGGTTGAGATAAGAACAGTTTAATAATGGAAATGAACTAAAATATAATAATAATAATAATAATGATAATGATAGAATATACAAAACAAGTGATGCACAATGCAATTGCTCACCACCTGCCGACCGATGCCCAGCCAGTCCCCGAGCAGACAAACGTCCCCCCCTTCCTCCTTCTTCCCCCAGCTTTACATGCTGAGCATGACGCCATATGGTGTGGGATATCCCTTGGGTCAGTTGGGGTCGGCTGTCCCAGCCGTGTCCCCTCCCAGCTTCTTGTGCCCCCCCAGCCTGCTCGCTGGTGGGGTGGGGTGAGAGGCAGAAAAGGCCTTGACTGTGTGTCAGCACTGCTCAGCAGTAATGAAAACATCCCTGTGTTATCAGCACTGTTTCCAGCACAAATCCAAAACACAGCCCCATACCAGCTACTGTGAAGAAAATTAACTCCATCCCAGCCACAACCAGCACAGGGGGTTAGAAGAGCCTCTAGGAGCTGAATACTCTGCTGTCACTGAAGTCAAACCAAACTGTTAGATTCCTTTTCAAAACTCTTCTGTAGCTTGTTTTTGAATAGACATATCAAGAGTTTGCTTTAGTACTGAAAATACTTGCAAGTGTTTTACATCCCATACATTTCAATGATGTATGGCTGACTTCAAGAAATTGGGAAAAAGATCTCAAAGAATAATCTTAACACAGTGAAGAAGTTATTTGTAGATACTAGTGCTGTTTAGTATTCCTGATGCTGTGGGATTTGTAATGCCTATTCAAAATCCCTGCATTCCCATGACATTACTCCACAATGCATTTAGTGTAAAGGATGGATTATGCCTTGTCATACGCAATATATTACAAGCAGTTTGTGGCTTTTGGCTATAGACACACAAAAAAAAAGTGCCTACTATTTTCTGTTTCTCCAGCGATTCAGAAACTCTTCTGGGATGGCATGTAGCTTCCTTGCAGTTCTCACATTGGAATTTAACCTTGGTAACAGTGGAGATGGCTGATACTCTAGTGCCATAGTGAATGCAGTGTCACTGCACCAACTTACTTAAAAGACCTTGACTGCAGAGATGGTTGGAAGTCAAAGTAGAGGGGGGGGGGAATTTTGTTTGGTTTGGGGTTTTTTTTTTTTGTTTTTGTTTTTTGTTTTTTTAACTTGCTTCACAATATGTCAATTAAGCATGTGCGAGAGAGAAAATGTCAGATGATGGAGTAAGGTCAATTGCCGAGGAAAAAAAAGAAAAAAGATATCCTGTAACATCTTAAGAGACTGCAGCATACAGAAATAATTCAGAAGAACAGTGCAAGTTACTTCAGAAGTTTTAAATCAGGACATTACACATGGCATGGATTTTTAGATGCATCTTTATGGAGCACGCTTTTTTATTGCCTGTGCCAAATTAAGATTTGTACAGTGAGAAATAGGTTTATCCTATGACTCTGATTTGGAAAGATCCTAGGTACTTTTGCTGTGTGTGATCTTAAGCAAAACTTGAGACTAGTAAGCAACACAGTGTAAAGGTAGGGTTTTAGTCCAGTTGTTTTTATTCCTTGTGTAACTGATTAAAATAGTTCCAGTGATTATTGGAAAAGAATACAGGAAAAAAATGTTGTTTTAAATGAGCAACAAAGAATAGACAGAGATGTATTTAGCACATATTTGCCTCTTTTCCAGATTCTCTTTGAAAAATGAAATGCCTGTACTGTAGTCCTGTTTGGTCCATATGTGCAAATCATGGTTATTTAAGCTCCTTCTGTTCTACCAACACCTAAGTGCCCTGCGATTTGACCTTAAGGTCAGAGCCTTTTTGCCTTTATAGCAACACCTGTGAAAGAAGTACAGATGCTAGAAAATATGGGTGAAATTGTGATGTTCCCCTGGCCTTTGCACTATGCTTTGGTGTAATCTGAGCTAGGTAGTAAGTGGAGAAGAGCTGTTTAGAGCAGCCTTAAGGAGGAAAGGGGTTTGAGTGACTGAATTCAAGGATTTCAACATACATTTGGCACTCAATGCTTTTCAGTTTCTCAAAGTTAATAATGGAACCATTTTTTTCTTATTACCACTAAATATGCAAAATTATAAAGTTTAAGACAGACCTCTGAAATACTACCCATTGTTTTAAAATGCACAGAATGGACTTTTTGATACATTAGTGAATCCTACAATTGCTGGCCTAGAAAAGCATTTTGTTTTTTTCTTTGTTTTATAGCACAGGCACCCATAATCAAACATAGATTGAAAAGAGCACAATTATTGCATCAATCCTCAAGTTTGTATGTGCTCCATAATAAAAATTTTTGCATAAAACTCTTGAAATTTTAGCCACTTCCATACCATTAGTAAAATTTAAAGATCAGTATGGATGTGTATGATTAGGAGGTAAACAAAAATCAGACTTTAAGCAATAAAAATACAGGTAGAAAGAGCCAACAAGTTTGGTCATATGTTGCCAGGTAATTTTATTTAATAAAATTATTTATTTTTGAGTTCACTTTCATTGGTTTCAGTTGCCTCTAGTTTTCAGTTAAAGGGCTTCTGATATATATTTATATTCAAATTTTAATCTCGGTAGAAATGGATATGTTTTCTGCAACGTTTTGGTCATCTCGTGCTCCTAGATGACCATCCGAGATGGCTATTTTCTTTCAGAAATCAGGACCGTGATCACAGGAGGTGATGTTAATCATGGGATTTGGGTCCATAGGAAAGTCTTACTTAGGCTAAAAAGAATGAAAAGGGCTTAGTAAATACTGACGGTGGATTCTGTATTGCAGTCTTCAAAGGAGTGGTGTGAAGTGTAAGGTATAATTATCCTCGCTCACATTATAACACTTGGAATGACTGTTCCTTATTTAAGGAAAGAAACCCTGGTTTTGCAGTACCTTCTGAGAGTCTGTGTACTTGGCAAATGGAAGTTAATTGGGCACAAACTGCTTAAACGGAAAATAATATCCGTATTTTATGAAAATGAAGCCATTTGACAGGTTCACAAAAAAATGTTAATGGTAAATCTGTGCATCGATGCTGCTTCGCTGTCTGCCCCACTGCCTTCCCTGACAAAACTGATATTTGATGAAATAGCATTCCTTCATGTGAAAACAAACAATCCCTGAACAGTGTGAGCTTGTGACATGAGCTACTTTTTTTGTACATTGATTCTTGTGAATTTCAGCTAACTCTTGGATTTTTTTTAAATTTTTATTTTTTTAGTAACTGTTCATGCCATTCATTCTTTTAGGGTAATCAACAGCTTAGTAGAGCTGGGAAGTCAGCCTGTTTGTCTTCAACATAAATGTGTACTTAATAAATGCATACTAAGTCTTGCTTCCTTCAGTAATTGACAGTTGTCTTTCAAGAAAAAAAAAAGAAAGAAGTTGCACTCCCTTCTTTTTACTGCCCTTATTTAATTAAATGAAAGGTGTGGTAAAGTGTAGAAAATTTTAATTCCACAGTAAATCATAGTAATAGCTTCTCATTTAGTAAGGTTTAGCTGTGAAATTAGAGGTGTAATAGTTATCTCCATAACTAAGAACATCAATAAACATTTGCTTTTATAATAATAATTACACAACAAAACTTTTAAAAAAAGAGTTAGACT